AGAGGACAACGAAATAAAATAGAGGAGCAAGAGGACAAATTCTCCAAGCGACGAGTGATCACCCTTCTCTTTTCTGATTTCTTCTGGTACTATCGCATTGAGGACAATGCTTACTTTAAGTTTAGGGGAGTCAGAACATTTCTTACTTTATTTTTATTATCTTTGCTCTATTTAGTATCCCCTTTTAGTTTCCTTTTTTTTTTCTTTTTCCTATGTACTGCGAAATTTCCATTTAATAAAATACACGTTTATGAAATTTTAACCTTTATGTAAATTCTCGTGCTTATTCGAATTCCTCCATATTCTTGAGCCATAACGAAAAATTCAAACGTTATATTAATATATTCAACTAGTATTAAGGTTGCTTATTTTTATAAATAAGAACTCGAGCGCGACTAAAGCAAAATTATTATCATCATAACACTCAATACCCCAACGTGTTAGATTGATTTAAGTACTTATTATACCAACACCTTAAGACTTAGTTTTAAAGTAATCCCGAGTAGTTTATAAAAGTAGTCAGCACCGCCTTGAACGACAAACTACGTGGAGAATCGATGAATATAAGTGTTTGATCAAGATTTTTAAAGAGAAATTTTTTATTAGAAGATGCACTTATTAAGTTAGATGATCCTTACCAGATCATTTATTCAGCGGTTGCAGAAACTATAAAATATTTATGCAAACAACCATTACGAATTGGTTCAGTGGTCTCTGGTGCTGAACTTGGTAGGGCGGACGACGATCCGATCCCCCACAATTTGTAATTGGATAAAGGAGTGCCAAATATAACTACCAGAACTCCAAGCTAGATTATAAAGATCAAAGTCACTAACGGTTACTCCACTATGTGTGCGTAAGGTAAAGGGCTTAATGTGATTGCACCTAGAATGAAAACGGGTGAAACGAAACGAAAGTATTAGGTCGAGTTATAATTCATGACTTAATTTGGTCTGCATAAATGAGGGTATCTAGTGTCATTACGGTAATTTTGGTGTCGAAGTCTGAACTTGAGTTATCCAACAAAAGAATTGACCTGCAACCAAATACGAATTGAATTGTGTTTTATATCTACGTTTGACTTATGCTTAAGTAATTTTTCATTTTTATATTTTTTGCTTGAGGACAAGCAAAGGTTTAAGTATAGGGGTGTTGATAACACGAATTTATATAACATATTTGGCTTAATTTTCATAGATAATATTAGTATTTTTATTTATTTATTCTATTTTATTGTTGTATTACGTTGGTATTTCTTTTGTTTCAGGTATTTATATTAAATAAAAGATAAATTGAGAAAAGAAGAAATTGAGGGAAAATCGGATTAAAAAGCCAAAGAAATGAAGAGAAGGGGTGTGCAAAGCAATGATGATGGATCAAAAGGGGTCTATTATCTCCAAACGGGCCCAAACGAATTCAAACCCACGCAGGCAAGAAAACCCTAAAAGTGCATGCAAGAGTGAGACGCACGTCTCAACTCTCCTCCTACAATTGAGGCGCCCGCCTCGGACTTTCCCCTTAGTGGGAGGCGCCCGTCTCAGCATGGTCAAAGGGAGAACAAGTCAATGGAGGCTCCCGTCTCAACGTGGGCAAGTAAGAAAACGAGAAATTCATGGATATGTGTCCCATGTTCTCCCATGATTTTGGTAGTTATTCCCATGTTCCTCCCATGATTCTGGTAGTTATTCCCATGATCTCCACTAGCCTTCGTACAACATGGAAGCGGGAAGTTACAAATGAAGCCTATAAATACAAGTTCAACCTTCAGAGTAAGGGTCGACAATTTTACCGAACAACCGTTATTAGTCTTTCTTTATTTTTCTATTTTCGTATTTTCTTTTCAGTTTTGTATTTCTACCATAATTTTCTAGTTCGGTTTCTTTCTTTAGCTTTTATTTTAGTTTAAGTTTCTATAATTTTCACTGATCTAACCTTACGTTAGATCTAGTTCCTTTTATTTCTTGTCGTAATTTTTCTTTTCAATTCAAGAAGTCTCCGAGCAGATCCAACCGACTTGTGGGGGAATGCTCGTTTATTTCGAAGAACAAGATTATTCAAGCATTATTATATCCAGGTTCTTAATATAATTATTTTAATTTATTTATTAATTATTTGCATGAGAGATATTATTTAGCCATGAATTTATTTACGAATGTTAATTCCTTTAATGTATTCATGTCTGCTTTTATGAGTATGTCTGGCTAAATTATTTAAATATCGGTATGTAACGAGTTAATTTGAATGGATCCGAATAAACAGGCTTGATTATATCTTATAAAATAAACACTTTTTCTGATTTAGTTATCTAGTTTATTTTGTTAAAAAGGTTTAGAAACCAACAGAGCGACAGTTTGAGGTTAATAAACCGACTAAGATTAGAAACCAATAGAGCGACAGTTTGAGGTTTAGAATCAGATAGTAGATACTAGGTATTGTTTTTAAAGACTGCGACAGCGTTTTAAAACCAATTAAACTTTATTTATTTTCAAAAAGTAATTTTAAAATCAATGGGATAGCGAAAGCATACATCAGAGTTTAAAATTATAATTTACTTCAATAGAGCGAAAGTTTGAGAATAGATTTTTGAATAAATACTTTTTGCTGAAAAGGATATTATTATCATTTTTAGAAAATAAGCCTGTGGAAAGCCGAATTCTCTAGTGTTAACGAAGTACATACCGATATCCGTTTTATTTATTTATATTCCTTAACCAATATTCTAAAAGAACTATTCGCCTTAGCTGTGTACCGTAACTTAGGATAACAATAGATCGATTTATAGTCTCTGTGGGTTCGATATCTTTTAAAACTACGCGATAGGACTGTGCACTTGCAGTCTCCCAATTAACAGACGATAAAGTCGCGATCATCCAGAAACCACCAAAGATCTTTTCCACTAACCCTCCTTCTTCCTCGATTGATAGGTATATCGCTGAACCCATAATGAAAGAATGGCGAGAAGCATATGATTCTCAACTCCTCATCCCCATTAGATACGGTGGAAACATGTATGCTATGTCTGGTCCGTTATCTTCATGCGTCGAAAATCCCTTGAAAAACCGCGCCTTCTTTCCTACTCACCCAAGGCTTAGACCCATAGGTTGTGCGAAGAAACCTAGGGAGGACCCTGAAGACGCTACTCCGGCTAACCAGCAGCATCCTCAGACTACAGAGGATATCAACCTCCAGTTCATGAACAAAGGGAACCGAATCTTTCGATCAAGCCCTAACCTCTCTTATGAATATTCAGACTGGTTGAATAAGATGGAGATGGCGCAAGCTTCTGTCTGGAAGGAGATGGGCATTTATGACCTAGTGATGCTGTCGAAGACAGGATTACCTTACTGCCCCCTTATGCTGGTATCTTTATTGTACTTTTGGGATAGCGCACATTTCACTTTTCATCTTCCTTGTGGGATGATGACCCCCACTTTATTCGACATAGCTAGGGTTTCATCTGATTAAAGTCAAAGTGTGGTCAACATTGATTATCAAGGGCTTGTGCTTTAGGGACTGGCCTGTAATCTTAGGTCATATCATTTTCAAACATTATTCAATCATCAATTGACTGGGAATTGTTCAAGCTTGGTTTCTTATTCCTCAAGGAAAGTACAAGGTCCGTGTGTTTATTCACATGCCTTCTTCACCAAGTAACCTAAAGTTTTAACAAGAGTGAGTATAGATCAATTAATACTTCATCATTATAATTTCATATGAGCCTCATCATGCTTTCCAATTTAGGGTTTTCTACTATTTTAATCGTT